TGGGGCACAGGTCAGAGGTGTGGAGGGTGAGAGGATTCACCAGAGACAGAGTGGGGAGCAGAACAGGCAGACTGACTGAAATACACCACTGAGGGGAGCAGCAGGAAGAATCAGGAGAGGTCTGCTGCGCCATGTGGTTAGCTCCCTGGCTGGGGATCGAACTCGTGCTGTAGTGGCTGCGGATAGCTTCATAGTGCTGAGACTGAACCCCGTGCACCACCAGAGAGGCACCAATACTTGTTATATCAGATTTACACATGTTTAATACTTGCCACATAAGCAACATGAAGAAAATTTAAAAACCAACTGTATCTCACCAGGGAAGAGTAGCCAGCATTTGTGAATCCTCTGCCCTGTCCATGCAATTCACACCCTACACACAGGCACATGCTTTGGCCTCCTTATAAAAAACCGACTTTCACAGGGAAATATTCTAGGGTAACATGTTTTATAATACCAGTTTAAGGGCTGAATAATAGTCCATCAAAGACCACTTTGATCTGGTGCTTCTAACCTTGGACAGGGATTTAAGTCAAATACTGTTTAATACAGGTTTTCATCTGAGAGGGTGCGCTCTCAAGATGACTTTGAGTTAATGTATACTAGAATTACATATGCTAGCTCAGAACTGTGCTGTGACAATTCATGTAATTATTTTTATTGGGGGAGAAGGGATTGCAGTAAAATTTTTACCGGAGAAATTACCTGTCTCCCTTTTAAAAGCATAGGTTGTCTGAATTTTAGCTTTTTATTGTCTATGTTTTTTGGTTGTATAAGCAGTACATGCATATTGCAGTACAAAGAATAACAATAAAAGTTCCCTGCCTTCTCTCCATCCCATTCTACTACCCAGAACTGACTACCATTAATAGTTTGCTATATGTATCTTTCATATATTTATAAGGCTATTTTAAATATGGAATGTCTGATCACACATACACACAGTTCAGGCATATATAAAAATATGCATCTATAAAAATATAAAAATCTATATATAAAAATATGCATCTACACAAGTAGGCATCTACACACCATATATGTGTATACACATTATATGTATTGTTATGCATTATGTATACATTTAGGACTTGTCTTCCTTTTTAAACATTTTCTTGGTCTCTGTCCTGGAGTCAGGACAGTGGTTAGAGACAAGATGGATTAGCCGGCAGGTCCAGCCCTCTCAGCATAATGTCTGACATGTCTCAGAAAGATAGCTGGGAATAAAGACCCACTCACACTCCAGGCCGTGTCCTCAAAACTACACATACTTGGTCTGCCTTTAAACTACCTACTGTGTATTTTTCCACAGATTCCAAATCCTTTGCAGTTGGAAACTGCAATCCTTTGCAGTTGCTACTTCCAACTGTATCCACCTTGGAGGATCAAGTGCCTGGCATCCAGGCATAAAGTCCTGAAGAAATTCCTTTCCCATGAAAGCACCTCCTTGAAGCAAGGCCCCTGTCCTGTTCTAGCATAGCAAGTGATGGTCTAGCCCCTGTTTTTGTAAATGAAATTTCTCCTGGAGCCCTCCTGTGCCCATTCGTTGTCTAATGTCTATGACTACTTTCACACCTCAAAAGTGTGAAATATTTACTGTCTGCCCCTTTACTGAAAAAATGTGCTGTTCCATGCACTTGGATGTGGTGAAAACACACTGCTTTTCCCTATCTAAAGTTTTGGAGGGCTGGACTCACACAGTTCACATCCAGTGTCTGTCCAGACTGAAGAGTTTGTTTTCTATTAAAATATAAACAAGCAAAAAGCACGCTGGCTCTAACAGTAAGAATGATGCGCTGGTGAACATTTAACAACTTTCTCTCTAGCAGGTAAATGCCCTGATTAAGAGCACTTGCCAATCTCCAAGGTGGACATATTTCCATAATGGCTTATTTCAAACTAAAGAATGTGGTGTCACAGAACACAGCATTGGAAACAGATGCACACAAATGCCAGTGCAAGCCACAAGCCACCTCCAGCAAACGCTGGCACCTGGGACATCAATGGCCCAACGTCTTACTCGAAAGATGATGAAAGTGAGGTTGAGAGAGACAATGTCTTCCCCAAGGCTGGAACTCATTTCCCTGTACAGACACTGGCTGCTTCACAGGGAGTTGCTCCTTCAGTGAAGGGAAGGCAGAGAAATTCTTTGCCAGGCACATGGCAATACATGTTGGTTTTGTCATTATCTTTACAGTGTGGTGCACGGGCTTCCTCAGCACACTCGGGTGGGGATCACTGTTCTTCACACAGGGCCATACTTCATGTGAACACGCTGATAGTGCCCTGTCTCAGTTAACCAGCAGCGACCTTAGCTACCGCTGTTACTCCGGCCAGACAGGGACTGCATGTGTTTGTTCTTTGCCCAGTGTCTAGTCCAGAACTGGGCACTTGGTAAGTGGTTGGCCGATAGATTTCTACTGAAGGGATAAAGGAATGAGACCTCATCATCAAAGTGGACTTTTACCAAAGAACACACCAGGTGCCCAGGGGTTAGGTCCATTCCTTTCTCCCAACCACGGACAGAGTAGTAACAGCTGCCCATGCTCGTGTCCTTGCAACATCTCTGAAGTACTGGCTGCAGAGTCCAGGTTGCTCCATCAGCGCACAAGAGGCTGTGTGGCGAAAGGGAGTGTAGAGAATGTTTTCCCTTTCATGTAGAGTTGACTCTGCATAACACAGGGTAGGGGTGGTTAAAGGCACTGATCCTTAGCAGTCAAAAATCAGTGTATAACTTGATTTCTGCCAAAACTTAACTACAGTCATCTGTCAGTTTCCGCAAGGGATTAGTTTCAGGACACCACCCCACTCTCCCATACCAAAATCTGGGGATGCTCAAGCCCCTTGGAGTTAACCCTCCATATCTGTGGGTCCTTCCTTCTGCAGATTCTACATTCTTAAATTCAACAGACAACTGACATTGTGGGTGGTTAAATCCATGAACAAAGAATCCATGGATAGAAAAAAAAAATCCATGTAAACGTGGACCCACGCAGTTCAGACCCATATTGTTCAAGGGTCAACTGTATGTGTATGTAAAGATATATATATACACATACATATATGTAATTTCTCCCTGGAACTTGTGCTGACAGAGCAAGAAGCCAAGGAAGGAATCTAGTGAGATGCCTACCTACCGGTACCTGGGATTCCAGATGTTGCTTTCTGGCAGGTCCTCAGGACCTACTCACAAAAATACACTTCTCAGAGGAACATGAATGAGCACCAGGATTGGAGACTCACAGTCCAATAAAGTCCAGGCTACGCAACTACAAACAAAAGTGTAGAGGAGGAAAGGAATGCAAAAGCAGGCCCCTGTGTTATTCTGGAAATAACTTCCAACCTTCTTGACAACTCTGACACAACGCCCTTCACACTTGTCGGGGCTCCCTGTGGGCACATCTCTGAACCCAGAGGTCCTGTGTGCCAAGTCACTGCTGCAATCTGGATGCAGACAGGTCAGTTCCTCAGGCACAGAACCAACCAAAGCCAATGGAGCCTTGCCAAGTTTTCAGGGGGCCAGCAACTTGCTATCGAAAGTGAGGTTGTTTGGCCCCAAATACTGACCGTTAACATCGTGGAGGGCATGGGGGGATATAAGTAAGCTGCAGGCCAATGAACGGCTCCAGCCACTGACACATCTCTTATCCCTGTGGTTCTCACAGTGTGTGCAGGGGACTTCAGGGACCCACAGGGTTAAAACCACTTTCCTAATACAAGACGCTATTTGCCTCTCTCTCTCTCTCTCTCTCTCTCTCTCTCTCTCTCTCATGTTTTGAGGAGTGTACAGTGGCGCTTTCTAGAGGCGACATGACATGTGCTACTGCAACAGACCGAATACAGAAGCAGATATGGGACTCCAGCTGGCTTTCATTAAACTTGACATTAAAGAGATATGCAAAAATACAAAACAATGCCACTCTTCTCAGTAACATTCTGTTTTGGAAACATCTATCCTAAAAATGTTTCATAAAAATAGGCCCATTGTTTTTAAAAGAATTAAATATAGGAAAAACGTCTATGCTATAATTATAAATGGTAGATATTTAAAAACATAACATACATACCCAACACTCCCACTGTAGAGTCACGTTTAACAATTTACAGCGGTATTTGAGACCCCTGCCTCCCCAAAATTTGAAAACTGTGGTTGTACAGGTTTTGTTTCCCTCCACCCCCACCCTGGCCAGGAGAGGGTTTTTGGGTGTTGCAGGAGGATGTGCCACTCGGACGTGCTGGCTGATCGAGGGAGGGAAGGCAGTCCAAGCTCCTTCTCTCTCAATCCATCACGGCGCGCTCTGCGCCAGCTCCTCCATGCGAGGGTCTCCACCCTGTACCCCATATCCTCCCGGCCACTTGGTGTGGATTCCGGATCTGCTGGCGCCCCCGTGACAGATGTCCCTCTCCGGCCGGTCAGGGCTTGGGGGGGACTTCCGGCGGGGTTCGCACACCCGCTTTGGAGTTAGCACTCCCGGGTGAGCCCCGCACAACTTCCTCGGGTCGAGGACTCCCGGGGGCGCCTCGCCCGCTCCCGGGGCTGGACCTCCCCGGGGTGGCCCGCGCCCTCCGTGGACTCCCCGGCGCGGCCCACAGACTCGGGTCCGGAGCCGCGGCCCGCACGCTGGGGTTCGGGACTCCGCGGGGGGGGGGCGCGCACCCTCCGGGAAGGACTCGCCGGCGCGGGCCGCACGGACTCGCGAGGATCCCCACGGGGCCCTCACCCCTCCGAGCAGCCCAGGCGGAGAGCGCCCCGAGAGCCGGGCCAGCCCCCGAGCCCCCGGCGGGCGCCGCAGAGGACGGGGCCGAGGCCGAGCGCGCAGTCCCGGGACCCAGCCCGGATTCTCCCCCGGCCTTTCCCGAGCTCTCCCCTCCGGGCTGCCGGGCTCCCGGCGCTCCGCCCGGGAAGGTGCCTCGGCCACCGGGCACCGGCGCCCACAGGCACCCCGGGGACCCGGCGGCGATCGCGCGCGCCCCGAGACGCCCCCGGGGCCGGGGGTACTCACCGCGCGCCGCACGGCGGGGCCCGCGGACCGGTGGGCCGGAACCGAGCTGCGGGGCGCGCTCCCGAGCGCTGCGTGGTCCGGGTCGCCGCCGCCTCGCGCTCCTCCCCGCGCCGCCCCCGGGTCGCCGGCCGATGGGCGGAGCAGGGGCGGGGCGGGGGGCGCGGGCCGCGCGCCCGGGTGGCGGCCGGAGGGGCGGGGTGGAGCGCGGCCCGGTTCCCCGCCCCGGCCCCCGCCCCCGCCCGGCGCCCGCCCGCGCCCTGGGCCCGAGCGCGAAGCAGCGGTCAGCGCCGGGCAGGGGCCGACGCCTCCCCGGGCCCAGGTCCCCTGCGCGCGCCCGGGGCGGGGCCCGGGGTGACTCTCCGCCACGTTGGGGCTCGGGGTGGGCCTGCCCAGCTGGCGCCGGGAAGCGAGGCGCAGACGTGCAGCCTGTTTTTTTCTTTTAAAAAATGTCTTGATCATAACGGTAGAGGCTTCAGTATTTGGCGACTCGGGTGCTTGTGGCCACCTCCCCACCGCCTCGCCGCGCACACCCCTGGGTCTCCACCCCGCTCCCACCTCTGCCTCGGTTCCCTGCAAAGCCGGCCAAGTGGGCGTCGCGATCAATCGTGCCCACAATGGCAGGACCGCACCGCTTCCCTGGTTGCAAACGCCAGGTTTCTAGGTGTAATTTTTTATTTTTGAACACATGCTGGTCAGTGAAATTGGATGGAAGGAATTTACGAAATGGGTGGGTAGCAAGAGGTCTCCCATGTAGGAAATACAGTAAATATTCCCTCTGTGGAAATGCAAGCTGCTCACTGGTGGGAAGTTTGGAAACCGACCCACAGTAGACCCCGAGTGGCTTTACAGACCTGCTTTTGACAGGTTGGCTGGAGTTGCAGCCTCTCGTGAGTCCGAAGAAGTGATTAGATCTTTCTCGATGAAAGGTGGCGAGGTTTTCCTCTTCAACTAGTGAAGAAAGTTATTGCAGTTTGCGATCTTGAGTATCTGAATAAACACTGCCTAGGATAAATAACTAATAGTTAATACTAATCCCAACTGTTAACCGCTTGTAGCTCTACAAGGTCCTCATAGCTAAAGATTCGGTCTACAGGTCAACTTCCAAACCCATGCTTTTCTCATCATGCTACACTCCAGGTACAATGAGCTCCTGGTTATATTTGATTTTTAATATAAATGGTTATATTTAATGTCAAAACAGGGAGGTATTTGCTGTATTTCCTACATGGAGAAGTCTTCCCACCCACTTCCTAAATTCCTTCCATTAACAGGCATTGAACAAATTTTCCTTCAATGTCTAGCATATACTAAAACTCCACCACAAAACTCTGAAAAGTTAAGTCCCCTGAAATTAGGAAGAGTGGAGGAAGGCAGGAGTGGTATAGGGAGAGAACACCAGCTAAGTGTTGCTTCTTATGGAGGCATCCTTCAGGAAGAAAAATTTCTTAATACTCCATAGCAGACATACCATCCATGATCATTGATAATCCTCGACGGAGAATAATTATATCAGAACCATACAGGGTATTGAGATTTATTAGCAAAAACTCCGGCCAAAAATAAGAAGACAGCATTCCCTACATCATTCCATTCTGTTCTTGGGCATGTTACCGGTCTCCTGGAAATCCAGTGGCCTTGCTGTCCTTGTCTGATTGCACTGCAGGATTTGACCCTGGTGACTCTTCTTAATTTAGCCCCCTTTTAGCTTTGGAACTTTCTGCTCTCCTGATTCACCTCTTCTCTCTTCTGTCCCCTTTCTTAGGCCCTTCTCTTGTTTTACATGTTACTTCATACGCTATACACTCATTATTCGTCTCCATCATTGAACTTAACCTTCTATGGGTCTCCACACTATTTGCAGCCATTTGCTGGTGTTATCGCCTGGATATTCCAGAGGCACCTGCCATTCTTCACATCTAGAATGAGAATTCAGTATCTTTTCTAATCGTCTGTCCTCTCCTACCTGTGCAGTTTCGTCCTCATCCTGAATCTCACATCTTGAATTTGGATCTCATTATGTTGAGCAAACTAACCACGTAAGGGATTTAGAGCCTTAATACTATGCTCACGCAGGTTCTGTCTAGTACATATTCTTGTCATGACACAAAAGATTCTGCAAGTGGCCCAGAGGGATGTATATATGTTATGGATCTTCTGAGAGTAAGCCATTTAGGTGTGGTGACTGCTCAGGCACAGATCTGCTCCAGGGGCCAGTGGCAGAAGTTCTTGTGTTGAGCTGACAGCTCTTAGCAAGCTCACCTGCGAGAAGCTTCTGCTAATATAAGAACCATGAGGGTTTGTTTGGAGACCTGTTAAGTTCTAAGGACTGCCTCATTATACCCCAAACCAACATCAGCTAATGCATGCCTCTTCCTCCACACTGACTTCAGTTACTTGTATACTCTGGGCCTTTATAGAAAGGTTCTAAAATCTATATCCAGCTGATGTTTTGTCATGCTTTGAAACTTGTACTGCACATTTTTTTTTTGAGTTATTTATTTATGCATATAAGAACTGGGAAGTAAGCAAGAGGCATGCAGTGGGGGTGGGGGTGAGAGGATTCACCAGAGAGAGAGTGGGGAGCAGAAGAGGCAGATGTACTGAAACACACTGCTGAGGGGAGCAGCAGGCGAGACTGGAGCAACCTACTGAGCCATGTGGGTTGCTCTCCGGCTGGCTGGGGATTGAACTCGTGCTGCACCAAACTTGTGCAGCACCGAACTTGAACTCATGTCGCAGTGGCTGGCAATAGCTTGATAGCGCTGTGTTTAACCCTGTGCCACCAGGGTGGCCCTGCACTTTCATACTTACTATTTAATAGAAGGAAGCGATGTAAGGGAAGGCAGTCTAGCATAACAGTTCTCAAACCTTGTGCATTGAAAACATATCACGATGTGGCTCTCTTCAAGAGACTGAGTTTTTGGGCCTCCCCGGTGGCGCAGCAGTTGAGCGCTGGGTTGGTAAGCTGCCGGCAGTCTCTGCAGCGCCGGTTCAATCCCCGGCTGCTCCCTGGCCTCGGGAGGAGGGTCCCACATGGCGCGCAGACCTCTCCTGCCGCCCGCTGCTCCCCTCAGCAGTGTGCTTCAGTCCTTCTGCCTGCTCTGCTCCCCGCTCTGGCTCTGGTGAATTCTCTCTCCCTCCCGCGCTTCTAACTGTACCCAGTGCTTGTATGTATCAATCAATCAATCAATAAATAAATCTTTAAAAAAAAAAAAAAAAAGAGACTGAGTTTGATATTGGTGGCCAGATGATTACTCTTAGAGAAATACCAGTGGTGGTTCTCAAACCAGTGTTTCTTAGAACATCAGAGGACACTTATTAAAAATACAGCCTCCTCTGCTCCCTGTGCCTCCGTGAATGTCTGATTTGTTATTAGGTCCGGGATGGGGCTGTGCTCAGAGTCTGAGGAATGTAAATATTACAGGTGATTCTGCTCTAGCATGTCCACAGATGGCACCACAGGGCTGCCACCCAGAAATACATGCTCCCTCAGGGCAGGCCCTGTCACTATGTTCATCACCCCAAACATGGAACCTGGTTTGTAGGGGGTGCTCAAGACAAGGTCATCAACACTGATCTACTATCCATTTCTTTCATGAACTACTCTCTTGCTCTCAATTAACCTGCAAGCTGTTCTGGATTCCCAGCATGGCACAGAGAGGAGATGTCTGTTTGGCTGTGAATGACATATCTGGTGGTCCTTGCTAAAACCCTTGCTTGAGGGGACTCTAGAATACCCAAGTTTGTCACTGGATTGTGTCTTATTCATACCAGAGGAAGTTTGAAGTAAATGTTCTCTGTCCCTTTTTAAAAAATTGCGATATTCATCATGGGAAAGGTAGTTTTTAATATCATTTTTGGCTTATTACGAAGATCCAACTGCCACCCTTCTCCACAGGAAACCAGGATTCTTTCACCACCTGCTTTACAACTATGGCCTATGCCCCTTGGCAGAGCTAGTAATAACCATCAAGTGTCATTAAATGTCCCAGTGAATCCCAACCTTGCTACATTACTGTGGCCATTTTCACAGATGGAGAAGCTGAGATTCAGAGTGATTATGTAACTTGCTTCGGGTCACGAAACTTAAAAAGGATGATGCTGGAGTTTGAACAAAGATGAATCTCACTCCAGAGCTCTGTTCTTACTTCTGTGCCACCAAATATAATTTTATTTATGTGAAATCATTGGCTATTCTGCAGTTATACATTATTTGTTCTTTGCAGAAAGGAAGAAGAAACTAAATATTCTAGGAGGGAACTTTGGTCTGTCACCGTGTCGTTTAGAATGCCTAATTCATTTGTTCTGCATTTATTCTCCCTGATTATACTATACTGATTCCTGTGGCAGCTCTGTCCTTTAGCTCCCAGGGAGAGGTGGTACTCATTGTGGGGGGTGGAGGTATTAAAAGGCAGGGACAATGATGCCATTGTTTGAGGCTGCTACTATTTACTTATTTAAATATTTTTTCAAGAAAATGGTTTGGGGCCTCCCCAGTGGCGCAGCGGTTGAGCGCTGGGTTGCGAAGCTGCCCGCAGCCTCTGCAGCACTGGTTCGATCCCCGGCTGCTCCCCAGCCACCAGAGGAGGGTCCCATATGGCACGCAGACCTCTCCTGCCTCCCGCTGCTCCCCTCAGCAGTGTACTTCGGTCCTTCTGTCTGCTCTGCTCCCCGCTCTGACTCTGGTGAATTCTCTCACCCTCCCGTGCTTCTGACTGTACCCAGTGCATGTGTAAACAGAACAAACAAACAAATAAATAAACATGCCTCTATAGAAAAAAATTAAAAAAAAGAAAGAAAATGGTTTGGTAACATCAACAAGAAGAGTTAAGCAAATGTGTCATTAATTGGACTCATTTTCTTTTACAATTTATGAAGAGGCTGTTTCACTTATTAGTTTAATTACTTTTTTTTTTTTTTTAAAGATTTATTGATTATTTATTTATTTATTTATACAAGCACTGGGTACAGTCAGAAGCGCGGGAGGGTGAGAGAATTCACCAGAGCCAGAGCGGGTAGCAGAGCAGGCAGAAGGACTGAAGTACACTGCTG